AACTTTCCCGAGACACTTCACCGCCTCACTTTCCTTGCGTTATATAAGCCTGTGGAGAGAGCGACCACAAGAATATGGTAGCTTATGCAAAAACTTAATTAAGCAATCTTGTTTATGTACCTCTATTCTTGAGGCAAATCTCACGACACAAATCTAGAAAAACGCATTAAATGCCTTTATACTTGTGCAAAGAGTGTTATTCTACACAGGAAGTCACAGAGTATCGATAGGCCTTCCAGCCTTTTTACTCAACTATTTATTCAAGTACTGCTGCAGTCAAAGGTATTTTTACATAATCTTCCTTTGTTTATTTGTTTGTTATACTAGTCTCGTAACGTCATAAGTGCATTGTTTAATGGCAGACAAACGGCGATTTAAAGGTCCGAAAACACGGTTTAAATTACCATATTACAACAATTCACAACAGGCGTAAGCCGCGTTGCGCCGCCCTAAGGTAAATTAGGCCTTTTACTCTTGATAATAAGGGATATTTTCAGGTGCCTTGTGTCTCTCGACCCTTGAAAATTTCAGATACCATATTGTGACACTGCAGAGTGAGTGTGAAAAGTTACGGTGATGTAGCATTCGTCAGTTGCCTGGTACTAGTCAGAGAGTCAGGTTATGCCATGTGTCCTCACCAAACCCTCCACTCACACTTGAGGGCTACCCATACTGGAGGGATCACGAGTGAGGGATGAAACAGACTGGTGTACCAAGGCCTGTGAGAGAGGATGCTGTGCCCACCCCAGGATCATTCTGTCTAGGACTAGGGAGAATTCTTCCACGTGTGTTAGACGTTCGTTAAGATAGTAAGTCTCCTATATTAACTCCCGGACCCCAGTAACATGGACAAAGTGCGCAAGATCTCTGGAAAGAGCACATCAATGTCTGAAGATAGATGGCATATTCCTCACAGACAAAAAAAAAATGTTGCAAATAACCTCTCCTCCTATTGATCTCCTATTGAGCATCTTACACAGCTCGATTCATCACCCTTCAGGCTGAACAGGAACTATGTCCATTGTCATCTCACTTATCGGAGAGCTCCCAAGAGTTCTCGCTAGACCTTTTCAATAGGATCTTGGAAAGAAACTATAATCATTCCTATGCCCAGCAATGATGCTTCCATAACAATTTGAATATCTCCAAGGTCCTAGCTGTTGGAACTCCCTAGTTACCCCATGTCTAGTCGAGCTGTATTTAGTCAGAATAAGGAAAGAGGAGAGAATACTAAGTACCAAGGATCAGATAGAATATATCAGATGGTTCGAAATCTGAACATGGTGTGGGCTTTGAAAGAGGAAGACTGCAATCTTACATGCCTCCCTTGCAGCAGTTAAAACGAAAAGAGATCATAGGAACCATTCTGTTTTAGTACACTGTAACTTAGGAAGTGCTTTGCAAGCAATCAAGAACTTAACCTCATCACATCCAGTGGTAAGGGAGGTTCAAGACTGCGTTGCACTGATGTCAGCACATAAGAAGCTAACTTTGTACTGGATACCAGCGCATGTTATCAGTGGGAATGAGCGAGCTGATCGGAAGGCCAAAGCAGCTGCCACTCAGCTCTATAATGCTCGTTTTCCTCTCCCACACACCGACTTGAATCCCAGAAGTTGCCTTTGTGATAAAGGAAGGAGCAGAGAAAGCAAACTGCGAGAGATTAGAGATAACCTCAGCAGTTGGGTGACCAGCGTCCACCCCAGCCCACAAGAACTGTAGAAGTTGTGTTAACAAGGCTGAGAATCGGGCACACGAGATTGACTCATGGACCTATGATGGATAAAAGTAAAGCACGTTGTGAGGGATGCCAAGAGCCATTAACAGTCGCATATGTAGTGGAGAGATATGTAGTATTCTCGTACTTTTCTTATCCATATACACTGAAATATGTATTGAAGGAGGATTGTGACATAGATCTTAGTTTCCAAAAGGAGACTAATAATTTTAACAAAATTTACTATTGCTGATAACTTGATGGACTCTGAGATCAAATGTAATATATATATAAAATGCATAAAAGTTTGAAAACGGTATTACAAATGCATTTTCGTATCAAAAACGTATACTGCAGTTACCGCTACTTAGTTTTACCTGAAACTTTGACAAGATGTTGATGGTATGGAGGTGAATGAATGGTCACACTCGGAGTTCCCAAAATGAAACGTACTGAAGCATCAAGCGCGGTAAAAGGGCGTAACCTTTATGAGTGATGCATCATGATATCACAATCAAGATAACATGGCGACGGTACTTGATATGCGGACAATTTGCAAAGAACCGAATGTGACCTTCAATTTATATATTAACTATTCGCAGCTAAAATTTCAAAAGGTTCAAGGAAATAATTCAGCCGCAACATGTCTTACAATACTGGTAACAATGAATGGCGTCAAACGTCACGACGAATGGCGTTCATATTTATTTCAACGAAAGGAAACTGGCTTTACTGAGTAACTTAAAGGTTTCAGAGGATAATTAGCAAAAAATTATTTTTACA